GGACTCCGAAAGGGGAACTTTGTCCCTGACTTGGCACGCTAAAGGGCATCAGGAGGTCAACTTTCAGCTGTACTAAACACTGGATGACTTCAGTTCTAGGTGACATCTCAGCTCCTTCTTCTCTGGATGCCTGTACACACCATCTCCACAGAGCCAGGACCTCTCAAACATACACATTTTAGAGGGCAAGAGTTCACTTTTCTACCTCATTTACCCTAAAATTAATCCAAGCTAAGAACAATCTACATCCAGCACCTTGCTCAACTCGTTTCAGACTGTCTGTAAAAGAAAATCTGACCTGCTGTCGTGCTTATGTAAAATGACACAAGTTATTTGTGGGCTGAAGTGGTTTGAAGTGCTCACTGCTCACCCCAGACCTACTAGCACTGAAAAAAAATAATGGTGTTATGTGAGGTCATCCTCCTAAACACTCCATCTGCTCAGAATAAAGCAAAGCAGAGGTTACTCTAGACATTTAGGCAGCTGACACTGAAGTTTGAACGTTTTCCTGAAACCAACCAAAGTAACATGCTCAAACGACTAACTGGAATTTAAGAAGACTTCAGGAATTAAGGAAAAAAAACCCCAAAACTTAAAAGAATCACAGCTCTTTTCCTACAGGAAGCACCACGCTGTGTTTGGGCCTGGGTAGAAGTAAAACACTCCAAACCAGAGAGGCTTGAAGATGGCTTGATAGGATAAGGGGTTATGGCTTTAAATTGAAAGAGGGGAGATTTAGATTAGATACTAGAAAGAAATTCTTTCCTGTGAGGGTGGTGAAACCCTGGCCCAGGTTACCCAGAGAAGCTGTGGCTTCCCTGGAGGGGAAGACCAGGCTGGTTGGGGCTTGGAGCAACCTGATCTGGTGGGAGGTGTCCCTGCCCAGGGCAGGAGGTTGGAACTGGATGGTCTTTAAGGTCCCTTCCAACCCAAACCATTCTATGATTCTATGGTCAGGTCAACAAGAAGCGTGTGCCTCCTCCTCCACGTCCTTCTGGCCTTCCTCCTCCCACCAAGCCTGTTTGGCAATCATTTCAAAATAAAGTAGTGAATATGAAAAGAATTACAACCTTCTCAGAAAATAATACAGCTGTTGGTGGAGGGAGGAAGACTTCCAGAGGTCCAGGAACTTCTCCACATAAATACAGCCTTTCATCTCCCCGTTTAAGCGGCCTTTGCCCGCCTCGGTTTTGTTTTTCTTCTAAACACAAAAGCAAGGGAAAAAATGAAGTCATGGAAATAAGGCTGGATAGATACTGATGCTTCAACAATTAAGTCACGGAAATATGCTGGAGATTATATATATATATAGTGATGTTTCAATAATTGCATGATGAAGATCTGGAAAGGAGCACAGCCCAGGGAGCTCCGAGGGGAGATAGAAAAGAACATACCCAATTTTGGCACAGCGTGAGAGCCCGCTGAAGATTTGATGAAGATAAATAAAAATAACGGATGCTTGACTTGGAGATGAACTGATTGTATCGTTTGCATCATTCTCATTAGAGCCCCGTTAATTTGTATTTTCAACAACACGGCGAATAACATTTGTAATTACTCGTAGGGTGATGTTGTAATAGGTTATGTTTATGCAGGCTTTAAATGGAAAACCTTTATAATGGTGCATTTTGTTTCCAGCTCCTTTTAGAGGAAAAATGGAGGCTGGCAATGGGGCAATTTTCAAATAGGAATGAGGAAATCGTTGTGACCGGCTTTATTCAGCTTTGCATTTTCTAACGTTTGATGCTGGTGAAGCAGAAGAAGACACGGGGTGGGACTGGGAAGATCTCCACTTCACTAATTCAATATGAATATTCACTTTAAACAAATAAATTGTTGAAGAACTGTTTGCTTTTTATGTAAATATGCATCAACCACACTGCTCTCAGAAACGCCGCCGTAAAGCAAACAGTGGGATGTTGTTCTTTGCGTACCCAAACAGGGCTGCTCTTTGGGAGGAGGGATGGGCAAAAAGAAATATACAACAGAAAGCAATGGCACGACTGGAGGGCAACTGCTAAAATAATCAGGATCACAGGATCACAGAATCTTCTAGGTTGGAAGGGACCTTTCAAGATCATCTTGTCCAACTGTCAACCTGACTGACAAAAATAGACACCCATACAACAAACAAGGAGCATCATCACTAAACCAGACCTCCCAGCACTACATCAACCCGTCTTTTGAACACCTCCAGGGATGG